TAGCATTGAGTCTGGAGTAGTTCAAAAGTTTGTAGCCATCATAGATCCTATCCTAAGACCCCCTAGAACAGGGGTTCTCAACCTTGGCAACTTTAAGACTTGTGGACGTCAACTCCCAGAATTCCTCAGCCAGCTTTGCTTTTGCTTTGCTGGCTGAGGAATTCTGGGAGTTGACGTCCACAAGTCTTAAAGTTGCCAAGGTTGAGAACCCCTGCCCTAGAATAAGTATTGTAAGACCTTAGCATGAAAAGTATGATTGCTTTTCAACTGACTGATGGGTTAATTATATTGGCTCATATAATGGTCCCAGATGTGTTCTGTAGGGAGCTTAGGGTTTTTAGTTGCCACCTGGAATAGGCTGGTAGCAGGCACTTTGGTTTGGATTCTTCCCATGCTCCTACCCTTTTGTCAATCCCAGGGGACTTCTTGTTTTCCAAGAGCTCTGAAAGATGAAACAACAGAAGAGATGTGTAGAGTACCATTGGAGGACAGTGAAGAGTGAATTATCCAATTTTTGTAAAAGTCCATATGAAGCATGACATTGTCACAATAAAGCAATTGTCCACTCTTATTGCATCTGCAATAGCCTAATTTAAATTAATTTATTCAGGAGGGAGGAGTCACTGAAATATCTTCAAGGCCACTGTGTGAATATTCTAGGATGTGTCACATAAAGTCATTTGGATCCACTCAGAGTAAAATTCTGAATGAGTGACTCCATGTGAGTTGATTAAGACATTCACTTATTTTGTTATCTGTGAAACATCTGACTTTCTAGTTCCCGAGGAAGTGGACAGAATCTTCATGATTGTTAATCCAGCCATCTGTCTTTCCTAGTTAGTTAAAGTTGTCTGAAGGGGACATATGACTGAGTTCATGTGGTGGTGAATATATCCTTGGGTGAATGTATCACTGGACCAACAGTTCTAGATCACTTTCATCCAGTCTTTAACTTTTCCATTTTAAGGAAGATTTTTGAGAAGGTGTTGAGGTTGCAACTTCAGAAGTTGCAGCTGGCCTAGAATGTGGCAATGCAGGGTGGTTACGGGTGGACCTCAGTAGGCCATGATAACAATTCTGCTACATGAGCTGCACTGGTTATCAATGAACTGGGTGCAACTCAAAATGCTGGTTGTAATCTATAAAACCATTCCCCGCATAGGGTCTGATTATTATGTGACTGACTGTCCTTTTCCCATTGTTTCTGCCCATATATAAGTATTAGTGGAATAGACATGCTCCAGGCCTCTGCTTGTATGTATATATGTAGGTAGTCCTTGACTTTATGATCACAACTGAGGCCCAAACTCTAATCCAGCAGTTAAGGAGAGGGAACCTCTGATATTTATTTACAGGGAGTCCTCGGTTAATGACCACAAGTGAGCTACAAATTTCCCTTGCTGAGCAATACAGTTGTTAAGTGAGTTTTGCCCCATTTTATGACCTTTCTTGCCATCGGTGTTAAGTGAATCAATGTATTTATTATGTTAATGTCACAGTTGTAAAGTGAGTCTGGCTTCCCCCATTGACTTCCCCCACCAAAGGTGATCCCATGACCCTGGGACACTTGATCGCATGGCCAGTGTGAAAAACAGTTACAAGTCACTTTTTTCCAGCACCATTGTAACTTCAGTCACTAAACAAATGGTTGTAAGTTGAGGACTACCTGTAAATACCTATTATCTGCCCTGGAGGGATGTTTTATTAAAGATCTAGCTCCTGAGTTTTCATCTTCTTTGGGCTTTTTACTCAAATCAACATTGTTTCAATTTGTATGCTGCCCAGGATCATTACTAATGTAATTTATAAACATAAATAGTTATAAATATAGGTTGAATACAGTTACACTGCCATTTAGATACGGATAACTATTGATCACATAATCCAATTGCCAATATCACCTGATGCTCTAGAGAATACAGCATTTCTCTGCTATTGAAATTTGCTGGCATACTTTGATGACTGAGCCCTGACTTACCTTGGTATTTAATGTCACTTTTTGCAATAGTGAGGTTTTTTTGCCCCTACTTCCTCTCTGTTGGCTGATAAGGCTGAGTGGCACTTCCAAGAAGTTTATTAAGGACGAGCATTCTTTGGTTCATCATAACACCATCTAACAGAGCCTCAGCTATTTTTGGACACTGATGATGATACAAAGCGAGCCAGTTTGATCTAATGCAGTGTTTCTCAACCTTGACAATTTTAAGGCATGTGGACTTCAACTCCCAGAATTCCACAGCCAGCTTTGCTGGCTGTGGAATTCTGGGAGTTGAAGTCCACATGCCTTAAAATTGTCAAAGTTGAGAAACAGTGATCTAGTGGTTAAGGCACCAGACTTGAGACCAGGAGATGGTGAGATCTAGTCCCATTTTAGGCATGGAAGCAGGGATATTTGAGCCGGTCATTCTCTCTTGGCCCACAATGTCAGGTTCAAGCGACAAGCCAGTCGATCAATTATGGTTACAACCAATGAATTAACCCTTAGTGGATATTTTTTTAAAAAGCAGGAAAACTTGCAGGAAACACATTAAGAAGGAAACTGTAATATGTGCGAAATATTTGTCTGAATTATCAGAAAAAGCAAAGAAATCAGGAAACCATTGTAGGGCAGAAAACAGGGCATATTATGCTGGATAGCCAGTAGAAGATGACAGATAAATATTTGGTGATCACCTAAATGCATCTTAGTAACAAGCAAATCTCACTGCAGAGCTTTTTTGTGGTTCTCCTTTGTAGAACAGCAATAGTGAATAATGGAAGGAGCCATTTTTCTGCTAGTTTAGTATTACTGTAGTTGGCCTATCAATGAAACTTGTAGGTTCCTTGAAGGGGACTTAAATTTAAGCAATATTCGAAGATTTCCACGGAAAGCCATGGAGGACATTGTATAGGTGTGCTACAAACTCATAAAATTATTTGGTTCTATATTCTGCGTGTCTGTGAAGATTTTCAGTCATCCAGGTCATGGTTGTCCCAAAGGCGCTTTTTCAAAAGGCAACCATACTTTGCTTTTCCGTGAAGGCGTTTCTCTTCTCATCCAAGAAGCTTTAGTCAAAACTGAAGAAGCTTCTTGAACAAGGAGCGAAATGTCTTCAAGGAAAAACTAAGCCCAGTTGCCTTCTGCTCTGTGTAATTTATGGACATTTTAATATTTAAAGAACAAAACTGCCTTTCTTGATTAAGGGCAAGTGGTTTGAAATAAGTGTAAGCTGACCGAGGCTGAAGTAAGTAGGTGTTCCTTGTTTTTAGTTTTGAAAGAAAAGTTAAGATGCAGAGGAACGACTGCACGGCGGAGGGTTGATTTAGAACGCTTCCATCTGAGGATACTGACAGATAATCTGTATCCGAGGGTAGATTCCAAAAATAAAGCAGAGAGCAATTCCATTATTTCATGCCTGGACTGTGACAGATTTCAGTAGAGAGGAAAGGAAAAAGTGCCCGTCTTGCTTTGTACAGCTGCGTCAAAGCTGTACGAAGTGGTAGCAGTGTGTATGTTATAATGGGACAGGGTGCACGGAGGGAGTCATAGTTCAGAGGCAGAATAAATGTACAATTTCCCCATTTCAATCTGTACCACATTGTTTCATCTTGGTGCCGCTAGTTGTGTAGGGATTATAGTATGCTCGATTGTGGGACCTAGCTGGATCTAGATTTTGGGATCTAGTATACTGGATACTTGGATTGTAGTCTCATTGAATATGGAGGGCATTAAGTTGGAGCGGCTTGCTCCATCATCTGCTGATTACAGGTTCCTGAGTATAAGGGCTGAGAAATATCTGGTTGCTTCTTATTGGATTAAACCGTGTGGCCTTAATGGATTCTAGTATATGCAGGGTATATGGAGCAATAGCCAAACTTTGAATCAGAGGAAGTTGCCTTCCAAGAAATGGTAAATAATGGTAAATGTGAACTAAGGCAATGGTTCTCAATCTGTGATCTGCGGACCCCTAGGGGGCCACAATGTCCTCACAGGGGGTCCACGAAAGCTTGAAGAAATGTTATGTTAAGTCTTGGAGGTCTGTGGCCGGTCTGTGGCCAAAAAGTGTATTTAAAGAGGGTTGTGGTAAAGAAAAGGTTGAGAACCACTGAACTAAGGGATTTGTGTAGGAAGTCAGAGAGATGACCTTGGAGAAGGAATTCAAAAGCCTTCAGGTGCAGAAGGAATATGTTATGTTTAGAGAGACAGGAGAGTGTTATAAAGTCTCAGACATAACACACACACACACACACACACACACACAAATGTCCTGGAACACAAGGGGAAGGAAGGGGAGAGATGGGCAGGCTTGCAAGATTCTCTTACTAAGGTCTATCCCAATAAAATATAGCTCTAGTCCTGTGGAGTCTGTTTTCTGATCTAGTCTCAGTCGAAGGGCTAACTATTTAATTGTTACTGACTAAGAGAAAAGGGACAAGAGGAAAGGCTGAAGGGATCTGGGGTACAATAGGTCAGAACAGTTTATCCACTGGGCAGGATGGCAATTTTCCATACATTGAAGCTCCAGGGCTCAATTACAAGAGTCTTTGCCAAGTTTTTTTTTGAACTTTGATCAACAATGTCCAGCTGTTGCAAGCTGCTCTTGCCAGAAAATCAGGAACTGCAAGGTCCCCATCCCACCCCCTGTAATTTAAAATATAAAACTCTTGAAATAGCACATTGAAATGCACAAAGCCTCAACACAAACCACCTTGTTGCTGAATGCAATCCTACCATGTCTTGAAATGAGAATGGTCTGCCGAGGTTTCCATCCCAGTTCCTATCCCCAAAGATACATCTAAGCCTTCCCACTGAAACTAATGAGATTTCTTGCAGTTTAATATAAGGTGTACATGAAATGCCTCCGCTCATTTTAGAACCACAGGTCCTAGCGTGAAATCAAGCTTCCCAACTACTTAGTAAATAAAGGCGATGATCACAAAATATGCACCTTTGCTTAATCTGATTAGTGAAATAAAATGTGCATGCCTGAATGTGGGGTTTATGTTTGAATTTGCTTTAGAGATGACGAAGAGAAGAAAAAATCCCCTTCTGATGGTACTGATGAGAAGGATAATGGAAAGTCTGTCAGTCGCATCGGCAATTCCAATAACCCCTTCCTGGACATTCCTCATGATCCCAATGCTGCTGTGTACAAAACCGGATTCCTGGCACGTAAAATCCATGCTGATATGGATGGAAAGAAGAGTGAGTGCTTTTCAGGGGAGCTGCTTTTTCCCAAAAAGAGAGAGAGAGAGAGAGAGAGAGAGAGAGAGAGAGAGAGAGAGAGAGAGAGAGAGAGAGAGAGAGAGGGAAGTAGTAAATACAGAAGCTTGAATATGTGCAATTGTATATGCATGTTCACTTGCTATTGCAAATGTAAATAAAAGGTGCTACTAGAAGAGTATCTGGGAATCTGGCAGCCCAGAGGGAAAAGCTAAGAAAATGCTTTGTGCAAATGTTTAGGAAGGTTAAGGAGAGAAACAGCTCCAGCAACCCATCTTGAGAATTGCTCCAAGAGATGGAAGGGGAATTAGCACACAGCTGCAATCTTCTTTCCCCTTTGCCAAGCTTTGCTATTCCCCTCCAGTCATTTCACTTTGCCACAGATATGCGGGAAGACTTCTCTGTGATGGAGGTCAAAGGATGAGATGGCTCTCTTGCTTAACCTCTTCTTAGTTCAAGCCCAGGAGAGCCAGTTTGGTGCAGTGGTTAAGGCAGGCCGTCCCCAACCTTTCTGGCTTAGCGGAGTGGTGGACGGGAGGGGGGGGGAGAAGAGAGGATGGTTCCATGAAAGCGGCTGGCATGCGCCCTTGCACACACAAGTGGAGCTGCATGTGTGGTCCAATTCCAAATGGGCCATGGCCCAGGGGTTGGGGACCCCTGATTTAGGGCATTTGGCTTGAAACCAGAAGTTCCAGTTCTCTCCTTAGGCAAAAGCCAGCTGAGTGACCTTGGCCATTCTTCCTTCTCAGTCCTAGGAAGGAGGCAATGGCAAACCACTTCTGAAATCTTGCTGAGAAAACTGGGACTGGACCAAGAGCCAATTCTTCCTCCCCCCCTCTCCCACCCTCCCAAAAAACAAGTCCTGAAATAGGCTGAAAAGTCTTTCCAGTGTTTTCATTTCTTACATGTTTCAATTCACTGCCAGCACTTGAGGTGTTCCTTTTGTTGCAGGCAGCTCCAAGGAATAATAGGGCTGGTAAATACAGAAAAAGAGGAGAGAAAAAAAGAATATTAAGAATTTTTCTTTCTGGAAAGGACAAATATCAAGTCCCTATTATGCACTGCTGCTTCTTTGGACTACCCTTCTCCTACAATACTCTTTTTTTAAAAAAAAAAACTTTGTTATGATTTTTAATAATATTTTCTTGCTTTTTTCTTCATTTTTGGCTATCTCTTTTTATAATCTCCTTTTTTCTATTGTTTTTTTTAATCAAAAATTAGTTTTTAGAAGAAAGGGGGGGCTGAGGAGGGTTTCACAACCAAAAGAACACATTATTTATATTAGAGCTACCATATTTTAAACAGAATTTGTTTTTGTGTGTGTGTGTGTTGCTTTCCTAGCTCCACGAGGAAAGAGAGGATGGAAAACCTTTTATGCTGTCCTTAAAGGAACTGTACTTTATTTGCAGAAGGTAAGACTTTGTTTCTTTCAGCTCTTCTTGGTTAAAAGGCAGAAGCCTTTTTGTTTGCTTTGTTGAGTGATGAATGCACCATGACCACAAGACAAGTCAGGATAATAAGGTCTATCTGACCAACCATCTCACCCCAATGGGACTAGCCCACCACACTCATTCCAGCAGAAGCGGCCCATTTGGCATCCCATCTGTCAAAGAATTTTAGCTGGTAGTGTTCAGGAGAAGACCCTTTTCTGCTGTGGCCTCTGATTTCTGGAATATTCTCCTGTGAAGATGAGGTCTGGCCCCACACTCCTGGCCTTCTGGAAGAACCGGAAAAACTTGGCTCTGCCAACTGACCTGGGGCCACATTGGGGTGCACTAACTTGGGGATGGCTGATGAGGTAGAGAGAAGATCCCCACCTTCAGACCAACCATCATTTTGGGTTTTAGCTTTGCTGTTTGTTTTTTTCCAATTTTATTTGTTTTATAATACTTTTTTACTTTTTATCTTATTGTAAAGATAAATAACCCGGAGTTGTTATACCAGTGAGAGGGGCAGGATAGAAATTTAATAAATAAATAAATAAATTTTGGATATTAATGAATTGCTTTGGGCTGTTTCAAGAGCATACATAATTTGGATTTTTTTTTTCCCCTTCGTAAAGCCCGAAGCAGAATACATTTCCTCTTCCAAACTTAGGAGTTATATATTCTGTCATCATATTGGGGAAATGTGCAGTTTTTCATAGCTTAGAAAAGCAGAGATAGTGGAAGTTACACTCTCCATAATTCATCTTCTCTTGCTTCCTCGAAACACTCAAAATACTATATGTTTCTCTACTGAGGTGATGTTGTGCAACGATCTGTCACTTATCTACTTGTGGATTGGTTGATCTTAATAAGGTTACCTTGATTGTACGTGTTCTGCATCTTGTGTTCCTTAAGGTCACTACAGGAATAATCACCAAATAGACTTTTCCAAGCTTTATCCTTCCATGTTATTTATTAAGGCAGCAATTGGAAACAATTGAACAGATAGTTTGAGGTCCTTCAGGTATTTTGGGTTACCATTAACAATACTACTAGAAATGATTAGAGTTGGTCTAAATTGTCAGAACACTGCCTTCTTATAGACATTTACATGAAAGCCAGTCTTATAAGGATGACATAGCCTTTCTGATCATCTTCAAAACACTATTTCTCTAATAATTGGTTGAATAAAGGGGCAAAGTTTATATTAGATGGGCAAGGTTTATATTAGAATGGTTTCTTTGCTGTTTTTTCAAGAGCAAAACCAACCATAAGTATTATAAAAACTCTCAGACAAACTACTTCTACTTTGTTAACAACAGCATCCTTTTCATGGGAATTTTAGAATTATAGATCTGTGAGAGGTCCTACATTTCTATCATTATAACATCTCATTCAATAATAGTTCCAGGATTCTCTAAAATTACAACATTTAAACTGGTATTAATCTGAAAAAAAGATTCTGTTTGTATGTATGTACAGATATAAAGATGATGGTTGAAAATAAAAAAAATAGTTTTATGAACAAATGCCAAATGTTTCTGTTCTGAAGAAAATTTATAAAGACTAATGTAGAGATGGAAGTATATAGGAAATATCTCTTCATTTTAGAAGATAATCCTGTTGTGTTTATAAATTAAAAATTACCAGATGATATTAATCTTGTTCTTTACTTTTTTATTCCAGTGTTCACAGCAATGACATCCTTTTTTTTAAGAGACAGGGAGTGTGGGCTATGAATTATGTTGCTGATGTTATGTCTTACCTAATTCCAAAGTCAAGCATTGCAAATGCTGTTTTTCAAATACCGCAGTTTTTTTTAAAAAGTATTTTTTTTTTTTTTTTGCTGTTAAGCTTGATTTATTTTTAACAGAGCTCTTTAAGGGCATGTGAAACTTTGAAAAAAAATCACCTAGAATTTTAAAAGATGTCAGATTTTTCTCATGCTTCCTCAATTGTTGTTTGACTTCTTTATTCTTCTTGAAAAACAGCTACACTTTATAAATTGGTTACTTTTATTTTTATTTATATAATATATTTATATTAATGGTAATCTATCTTTAAATAGGGTTTCTGGCCATGGACAATGAACTAGGAAACAGCCTTTCCTAGCATTTATGCTTCCTGTTTCAGACAATATGGGGAATGGTAGAATCTGCCAAGTGTGACTGAGATTTCATTAGGATGATATTTGCCTTAGGAAGAGGTGCTGTATAGAAGCAGTGATTTTAAAAACAAATTGGTTGTCAATAGCAGATTCTTAGATAATGTCTTCATGGTACAATTGTCATCTCTTACCTGCAGACAGTTTCCACTGTTGTACAAAATGTTTATATTTGAATGTTTCTGCTTCTGTAGTTCTCTCCTTGAAACCGATTTTATCAACTGTTGATTCAAGGATTCCCGAATTCACATATCAAGTCACTTGTCAATGTCTTCCACTAGAGCTCGGGGACAATTGAGGGAAGTCCCCTTCACACTGTGCTAGCATTGCCAGGCATACTACTTTTCACAGCAGCTTTTGAGGGATACTGCCTACAGTACTCCAAGTAGTACAGTGTTTATGAGTAATAGATTAAATTTTTGAGAATGGTCCTCAGAAAAAACTGTTTCTTTCTTTCTTTTTTTAAGTATAGGAAGACTGGTGTCCATCTCACTTTCCTTAAATTCTGTTGAACCTGAAACTTAATGTGGATTTTTTTTTCCTTTATGGAGAAATATGGTTTTTAAAAAGTGGATGGCTTCTAAACACATTTGTGTTACATTAGTGTTATTAAAGAGTGAAACATTAACATAAGATTAAATTTACATTCTTTAATTGAAACAATTACATTTACATTCTTTAATTGAAACAATTAAAACACCTAAGATGTGAAGTTTTATTATAGCATAGATAACCTAAGAGGACTCATAAAATAGCAACTTGTATTTCTCCTCCCAGTAACAGAAGCTTATTTAGCTATAGATTTCTTTGATAATAATATAGAAAAATCTCTCATTAGCAAACTTATCTAGCTACAACTCTGCTTACAATATAATATATCAACAAGAATATTGCATTGTCCTGAATTTGCCATGTGACCTTGGTTCCACTTGCTTCTGGATGCTTTCTTCATTCTAAACTTTTTAAAATAGTATGAGTGATATCTAATGCTCTCCCCTTAGAATTTAAAGTCAAAAGATTATTAATTGAAAAACAATGATTCTAATATGCCATTCTTCCTGGAAGAAAATATCTTGCTGAAGAGAAAAATGTGTTGAAGAAAAGGATACAAAATGGTCTTCAGATGCCATATGGAATGTCACAAAGTTTGCTTTTAAATTCAGTTTTAACCTGGGAAAAATCAGAAAATGGAGAAGCTGGAAAAAGAAAGGAGGACAAAACAGCTTTATAATTGGTCATTAGAAATGTTTTTAAAATCACCACAGAGAGAGAGATGGTATGAGTGAAGCCAACAGTGAACATGGAGCAAACATTTGGGTGAACCAACCTAAAAATGGGGGAATTGAGGAATGGAAAGGCTCTTAAATGGATTGATTAAATACAACTTACCATTGTGCACTAGATTCTGCAACCTGCTTGTCAGACAAGGAATGGCTTGGCCCCTTGCTTGTTGGAACACACCATCTGTCTTCCTTCCATTTTTCAATTCTAGAAATTTCAAATGGCATAGGAGAAAAATGTAAAACAGGACAAGAATATGCATTTCTTCAGTAGCATAGCTCAGAAATGGAAGAAACACAGAGATACACAAGATAGGCAACGTATCAAAAAGCTGGCTTGCGGGTGGTTTGGGGAGGGTTGGGGGAGGCTTGTTTTGTTTTGTTTAATCCTGTTCTTTTTTGTCGTTGTATTGTTGTTTTTTGTAAAAACTTTTAAAAATTTTTCAATAAAAAAAAAAGCTGGCTTGCAATATTCTATTCTATTTGCCCAGCATTCCTTCACTAGTGTATATAAACAGTCTTGCTTATCTAGGAAACTAATAATAGCCTTGATTCTTAATGATTGGAACCTTTCCATGGAAATAGCTACAATGAATGGGAAGGATAGAAGTAAACCATGGCATCCAATTTAGATTATAGTGAGTAAAGCAGGTGTATGTTCAGGCCAGTTTCTTTCCGTCAGAGTGATGTTAGTGAGGATGTACTTGGGAATATTAGTATTCCTTGTAAAAACTAATTCCATTGATCTAAGTCAGGGTCCCCCAAAGTGGTTAAAATTGACCCCCAAAAGTCAATGGGATTATCCAAAAGATTGATAAATGGTTGGAGGTCAATATATTATAGAAAGTTGTTTGGGATCAATTAATCTTTGGGTCTCCACACCAATCCCTAATCCTGAAGATGAGGTAGCTAGCGGTGAGACAGTATTACCCAGGATTGGTCGGTCAGCCACCAGTGAGAGCAGCCTTGAATTCTCTCGTCATCGTTGTTATAATTCATATCACTGTTTAGTTATAGTAATACGGTACTTATAAGTTATTTTCATATAATGTTTCTGGCTTGATGAAGAATATGAAATTTCATGAAGGGGTCAACAAGCTGAATAGCTTTGGGACCAATGTTTTTTTAATGAAAACTCACACCATTGAAATGCCATGCAATAAGGTTTGTGGAAAGCTGTGTGTGAGGGACAGGTTTGGGAACTTTTCAGCCTGTCAGATTTTTCTGAACTAGAGTTTTGCTAGCCAAATAGCTAATGATACATGATGCTAGATGATGTTATATAGCATAATTTGGAGAAACACCGGTCCCCATTCCTGTTTACCATCTTATATGTGATCAATCTGAAATCCCCTTTGTAGGAGAGTCAATATGTTACAGATCTGTAGTTAATGGTCTCTGAGTTTCAGTGCCAAACCAATTAAATATTTAGAACTCCCATTTATTCTGTTCGATAGTGAAGGTTAATATGAAGGGTACAATGGGAGAAGATTGGATTTAAAATTAATCTTGGCCTACACATTGTGCACACATTGAAAGAACTTCTAAAACCTATTTCCCTTAACTGTTTTGTCAAGTTAAATTCTTTATATGGAATTTCATAGATAAGATCAGAGTTGCTAAACATTAATCATTGCTACAGTTTGACTTTCTGATATCAAGATGTATACTTGCATATATACATATACATATGTAAAAGCACACACATACACACAAAAGTATAGGGTCATCTTGTGTCATTGGAACTAATGGGAGAATCTCACATGCATTTGTTATATTTTGAGAAAAGGATGGCATTATCTATTGAAACTTAACTTACCTTATTGTTTTTATAATCAGTGCTTTCAATATGAAGTGCAGTGCAATGCACATTTAATTAAATTCTGCTGCCAAAATAAAATATGTACTTAGGAAAGTCAGGATCAGCAAATATTATTACTTTAGCCTAATGAAGTCTTTAGGAAAAATTCAAATAATTTTTCCTTTTACAAATATTTCCTGTTCCTTGTAATTTTTTAAAATTATTGCATACCTAGGTTTTTTTTCTAGGTTGATAGGTTCATGGCCCCTGTGGCTTCCTTCCTCTCTCATATGGAGTAGCATTAAGTATGATGGATCATCTGAGCCATCTTAGTAGCTACTATTTATATTTGAATAGAGCCAATGCAAATGGCTACTAATTATATTTGAACAGAACCATTCATTGCACATCTTAGTAAGAACAATACCCTCCAGCGTGTGAAACTTGCGTTCAGTATTATTTAGTGTAGATGCTCTGTTGACAACTTCTCCCCTGTGCAGTCTATTTTATTTTATAATATTTTCGTATATGGGAAGAGAAAAATAAAAAGAAACTACTTGGCGAAAAGCAAGCTGAGAACCTCAGTGGCAGCCTTAAGTTGTTTAAGTTGGCTTGCAAAACACTATGAAATATAAAAAAAATTATTAAAAAGCCAATAATTTATTACCTCCCTTGTGAACACCTATAGGCTCAGGTTCACTCTCTCTTCTTAGCAAGATGAAATGTAATAATAATAAAAAAAACAGTAGTGGACTTCATAGAGTAATAGTAATCAGTTTTGAATTTTTGAGGTACCGTGTATGCTGGCGTATAAGGCAACCTGGCGTATAAGACAACCCCTGTCTTCGGCGCCGAGTCGCATGCCTAGAAAGTCGTCTTATACGCCGAAAACTACCAGTATTTCCAGTATATAAGACGACTCGGCGTATAAGACGACCCCCGACTTCGGCGCCGATTTTAACGCTTGCGAAAGTCGTCTTATACGCCGGAATATATGGTAATAGTTTTTTGTTTCCCCCCCAAAAAAACAGCCTTTTACCTTCTGTATGTGTTGGATTATAAGAGCCATGGGTTGCACAAACTGGTGATAATAGGACTTCGAGTTTCACACATTTGGAAGATACAGTACTTAATATGTCTAAATCAACATTTCTCAGTCTTGGTAACTTTAACATGGATGAGCTTCAGCATCAGAATTCTCCAGCCAGCATGCAGTCCATACATTTTAAAGGTGCTAGTGATGAAAAAGACTGATCTAGACAATGCTCCAGAGATCAGATCAATGACATATTTCTGTAATGTGGTTTGTCCCTTGTATGACACATTCTTATATACTGTACGTACAGGTAAAATTTGGGAGAAGGATGTACCAAATCCATAAAAGAGCTGAAACATTACAATGTGGATTAGCTCAATTATTTGGGGGAAGGGAGAGACTTGGAATTGATTTTCATATCCATCCAAATGTACTATCATCCTTTGATTAAAATGTGATGGAATTTATAGCTTCAGGCCCAGGATTCAACTCTAGGGGCAATACCTTGTTTCAGAGAATGATACAGCGACCCTCCATATATATAATACAATATGAAATGCATTTTGCAGGAACTTCTGGTAGAAGCACAAAAAAAAAAAAAAATGCAGGGAGCAAAATGTTGATCCTTTTCTCAATTGTGCTCCATGCTGTGCTCCTATTCTGTAGTATCCTCTGGCAGTCCTTGAAAATGGAGCCTGTGTCTTCATCTCAAAAGCTCCTGCCCTCCGGTCTGCATTTTGATCACAAGATTTGGCTGAGTAATCCCCGGAATAGGGATTTTTCATTATTCCTTGGGTGTATGAAATATTCTTCATCTTGCCAAATGGAAGATGAAAAATGGAATGATATCTCTTTTGTCTGTCTGAAAATTTAGAGCAAATGTTGGCACTGATACTTAACTGCATTCAAAATGGTTTTTGTTTTGTGCGTAAAAGAGACACGCATACATTTTCTGGTTTGTTTGTTTGTCTTTTTGTTTGTTTAGCATAATCAGATGCCTGCTTGCTTTGAAATAGTCCCCCTACATTCAGTGAGAATTCAGGATAAATGTGTATAGAATTTCTAAGGCTTGTTCAGCAAAATCTTAGGCAGTAGTCGCAATTCAGAAATCGTGTTACAGCTTCCGTAGTTTTATCCTAAGTATGAGAAAGCATTCTGTTTCTAGGAACCAAGTTGCTTTGCTTCCCACTCAAGGAATGCCTGCACTGCTATCTTTTCGAACCTGCTACTCTGTTCTCCTCATTCATAGGGAATACAATAACCAGAATTCCCAACCATTTGGATAGCCATCCTTCTTTTCTGTTGACTTCTATTAGAACCAAAAGTTTTTCTTCCCTTCTCCAAAACCCCATTCTAAATACAAATGAAGTGTCAGTTACTAGTATTAGCACAGGACTGGGAGGTAAGAAGATAAAGGAATCCCTTCAGATTTTACTCTCCTAGTCGTTGCCAACTATAGGAGGCAGTGCTCATCTCTGTTTCAAGGCCATTGAGGCAGCACTGTTCAGAAGACATTCCCACAGTCATGTGGCCAGCATGACGTCATGGAGCACTTTATCTTCCCACTGAAGTGGTACCTATTTATCTACTCACATTTGCATGCTTTTTGAACTGCTAGGTGGGCAGGAACTAGAGCGAGGGCGGGAGGTCACCCCATCACATGGCGCTTGAGACTCAAACCTGGGCTGCTGGCTTTCCAGCTGACAAACGCAGGTGTCTTAACCACTGAGCCACCACGCCACCTTAGTACAAGATTGCTTTTGCTAAAATCCTCAACTGTTCAAAAAGAGCATCAGTATTACTGTCGAACATAGTTTATTTGCAAGCTTAAAGTTCCAGATAACTTCATGATCAGATATGAAAGTGATAGTCCTCCAGTACTATTCCTGGTTCTGTAAAAGAGGCGTGAAAAAGCTTAGGGCAAAAAGAAGTTGTACCTTTCACATTTGTTTTTCCCTCTGTACAGTGGCTAAAAGCTCAGGCACCTGTCCTCGGTTGCCTTGGCGGCATTTCTGGCTTGCCCCATAACTGCTAATGGGCATCACTCTACCTGGCCGACAGGGGCTCATTTACTTGATTTGGTAGACTTATTTCCAGCCCTTTTAAAAGCTTTTCTCCTACTTGCTTTGACTTCTAACTTACCACCCTCTCTAGATAGTTAGTACATGATTCAAATCCATCACTCAAACCTGGGGGGAATTTTTATTTATCTGGTTACAAATTTTTGGCTGTGGACTGTTCTACAGTGGATTTGCCATGGTTCAATGCTATGTTGAAATGGATTTAATCAACAGCTGACCTGTAACAACTACACTGAAGACTTTGGGTTAATTAGAGCAGCTTTTCATATATCAATGCTGATTTGGAATTCTACTGCACATTTTCTATGCCATTTCGTGGCATTATTTTTATTTTTATTTTTGCTCAGAGTTCTCCATGACATTTTATCTTAATGGTCTTTTTGTAATTGAAGATGTCAGCTGTACAGAACATTCACCAGGTAGATGTAAAGGAGAAAAATTGCAATGGCAAAATGAGGGGGATGCTGGCTTTGTTTCTACACAAAAGCCCTGTGCTCTGTACTTCTAGGATATTTCTTAAACTCATCTGAAGGTTTTAGAAGTGGGAGTGTATCAACCAGTGTGCTATGGTGGTTAAATGTTGATTAATGTCATTCAACCACAGAAAGCGATTGGGTAACTTTGAGCCACTCACTCTTACCTTTGGAAAAATTGGGAAAAATATATGTATCTCACTTTGAGCACTAAGAGGAATGCTTGGAGGGAAGGGAAGGAAAGGAAAGTAGGTTTTTTTTTAATTTTTCCAACTTTTACCATTTATTGGAACCAGTGAAGTATGGAGGTTAAGGCAGTGGAGGAGGAGTGGAGAGATTTGAATTCTAAATCCACCTTCAACCATGGAAACTCATTGAGTGATTGTGCCAGTTGCTCTTGGTCAACCCAACCTACCTCACCTGCTGTTATGTTGTATATAGTATGTTTAGGTGTGTGTCATGTATGTGTTTCACTTTGAGAGCGGGCAACTAAATTTCATTTTCGATGTGTGCCATTGTGCCCACATTTAAAAAAATGACAATAAAGGTTATCTTGCAGGGACAAATAGGAAGAAGCACCATATATGCTATTTAGAGCTCCTGTTCAAAAAGGGGGATATAAATCTAATAAAAACTTCGCTCAACAGATTTCCATATTAATTTATAATTTAATGGAAAGAGTAAACTTTTGTTTTCATATCTATAACTTAGATGTATTGGTGTTTTGAATCATTTTTTTCTCTGCAAGATGTATTCTTCTGTGCACCCACGTGGGTATATAGTAGGCTTTTCACTTCAGATATGTTTAATAAGAGTGAATGGGGGTAATTTCATATCGCAATGCAAGATAAGTTACTTTCTCACCCATCCCTCATTTGCAGTAAACATGTATAGGATCGTAACAACATGGTCTTGCCTTTGTCACTTCTGGTGGTTGTTTACAAAGCAATTTGAGTTCTTGCCTGCTGTTTGATTGCAGCCAGGATTTAAAAAAAACATGCAAAAAATAAATCTACCCTTTTAATTTCTGCAGGACGAATACAAACCAGAGAAGGCTTTATCAGAGGATGACCTTAAGAATGCTGTCAGCGTTCACCATGCGCTAGCATCAAAGGCAACCGACTATGAGAAGAAGCCAAATGTTCTGAAACTGAAGACAGCTGACTGGAGAGTTTTGCTTTTTCAAGCTCAGTAGGTTCCAGTTTGGTTTCTTGCATGGTGTGGTTCATGAAAAAAAAAAAAAAAATCTTAGAAACATTGGGTCCTCTTCAAGTTTGTTTTTCCCCCTCTCCCTTTTTTTCAAACTATATTTTTCAGTTCTGAGTATAAAAGACTGCAGGCTCCCATAAGTAAATACTGAAGCTGTTTGAGGTCCATCCTTTGCCTATAAAATCTTGCTAGAGGTTTCCAGTGTTAGTCAGGCAACCCAAGTAGCAGAATTATTCAGTAGTTGCAAAAACTGTCTTGGCCTTAAATCTGTGTTATAGGTCTGCTATAATATATACAGGGGTGGGGAAGAAAAAGCACACCTTAGCATATGTGGTAATATATAACATGCAGCTTTTAAGCCTTAACCATCAAAGTCAAGGTCAGGACAAGCTGTTCAAAGTAATAGCTAAAAAAAATGAATCCTTTTAGTCATTTCAACTTTAGAGGAAAAAACTACAAAAGAGACATGCACGTGGCTTTTGTAACAGCTGCAATGCAGATAATTTTTTTCTATTGTGTAGAGCCAGGGTTTAGACTTAAGTCAAAGCTGTAGGGGTGTGTTTTGCAGATCACTGAAATGCATCAAAACGTTCAGGGAAGGCTGATCTAGACCCTTATCCACCTTACTAGCGGAGAAACTAGAAATGTAAATAATATTAAATTTAAATTTGGGGTTAGGGCAGGGGTAGGTAACCTTGGCTCTTTTATGACTCGTGGACTTCAACTCCCAGAATTCCTGAGCCAGCCATGCTGAGAGGAAAGGGAAAGGTTTCCAAGCTGAGTCATGCTGGCTCAGGAATTCTGGGAGTTGAAGTCCACGAGTCATAAAAAGAGCCAAAGTTGCCTAACACTGGGTTAGGGGCTAATGATAAAATTTAATTTGTTGTAATGGTTACTTCTGCTGGAAAGAAGAAAGGGAGTGGCAATGTCCCTAGATCACTTAAGTGGACTTTAGAGAATATTTGTAGTTCAGGGCTGAAATGAGGAGTGTGTAGTGGTCTATGAGCTTGGTTGTTTTCTTGCAGATGTTTCATTACTCAAACCAAGTAATAACATCAGTGCACTGATGATGTTACCTAGTTTGGGTCATGGAATGTCTGCAAGAAAACAACCAAAGTCAGAGAGCACCACATACCCCTCATAAGTGGACTGTGATGTCATTAATTAGAAGCCTAGGTTAACAGAATAACAGAGTTGGAAGGGACCTTGGAGGTCTTCTAGTCCAACCCCTGCTCAGCAGGAAACCCTATCCCATTTCAGACAAATGGTTGTCCAATCTCGTCTTTAAAACTTTCAGTGTTTCAGGGTCATTCAATGAACTGTAGGAATGACTCCAGAAGAGTGTTTGGAGGGTATGATAAAAAAAAAAGTCAAATTGGCAGCTGTGATAGTGTGATCAAAATTATTCCTGAGCATATGAAAATCAGGCAGAGTTTTAATCAGCCCTTGATGGCCACCATCTTGATGTTTTTTAACCATACCCTGCAGACACTCTGCCTTGGTTGACTCAAACTTAAGTTAAGATTATTACTCTGTTCTGAAGCTTAACAGGAAAGCACTCTTTACAGGAAGTCCTCATTTAGCAACTGCCTTGTTTAGTGATCATTTGCAGTTGCAGCGGTGACGAAAGAGTAATTTAACAACTAGTACTCACATTCATGACCTTTGTATGTCTATAAAGCAAATGAAAGCTGAAGTAAGGTCAAAAAATTGAGATGTTTCTCTTCAGCAATTGCTTTGCTCAACCATCAAGTTGCTGGTTCCAGTTGTGGCTGCTAAACAAAGATTATATGCATTATGCAAGAAAGAGACTGTTGAACAAAAGATGGAAGAAAGGAAGAAAAATATGGAGATGAAGCACAGATGAATGGAATTTTCCTAAATGTGGCTTACACTCAGGGACAAATCCTGAGTTGTTGCAAGAGAAACTTATTCTGATGCAAGCATATATAAGAGTGGCCTAAACTAGCCATTCTTTCTATGCCAGTGCAGATATTGAAGAGAATGTGCAAGTCTTATGCCTGAGGCCAGCCAGAGTCACTGATTAATCTGTCTCTCTTCCACAGGAGCCCTGAAGAAATGGAGTCCTGGATCAATAAGATCAATTCTGTAGCGGCCGTTTTTTCTGCCCCACCATTTCCAGCTGCAATTGGATCCCAGAAGAAATTTAGCCGCCCTCTCTTACCTGCCTCCACCACCAAATTATCTCAGGTAATTGTTGTTTGTTTGTTTCCCCCTCTCCCCCTCTCCTTACAGCTTGCACAAACAGGGCTTCCAGTATTATTCTCCCTTGCAATCATTCTCAAATAATTGTATGCATATGGGCACTTGATTCATTAGTCACGATGCCAAAAGTAGTATGGAGGCTGGCTATGTGATTTCCAAGTCAACTGTGAACATAGCTGTTCTTTCTAGGCTGGCAGAATGTGGAAATGGGCAACAACAGTAGCAGCCAACAGAGTGATTTCTCCTTTGACCCATGATATGTTTACAAGTTAGGTACCAGTAGTCCTTCTGTTACGACTCTTATGGAGCCTGCCCATCATGGTTGCAACTCGTGATAGTCATAAATCAGGTCACCTAAGTGACTGACCTGATTTTATAATCTTTTTGTATTGGTTGTGGTCATAAAGCTAACCAAGGGCTTGCTATCGACAAAACCGAAATGATCATATAACTGTGGGACACGGTAAATGACCATAAATGCAGCCCGAATGCTCAGTGTCCGAAGTGCAGTCATGCAATCATTTAGGAGATGGGGAATGTTCAAACTTTGAATCTAGATTATAAGTATTTGCAGGATTCTTTTTTTTTTTTCACCATGTACATTTGAACTAGACTCTGATGTTTCTCTGTGTCATGTATGTGTGTGTATGTCGGTATATGAATAATGGTATTTTTTGAGAGCTGAATGCAACAAAATTTCATTTTAATGTATGCTGACTAGTGTTCATTTAAAGTGACAATAAAGATTCTATTCTATTCTACTCTACTCTACTCTATCAAGGGAGGCCTCTTGTAAATGTGAACAGTCACTAAGCAACTGGTTGTAAATTAAGGACCACCTGTACTGATCTAGGTCACATGATGGATGGATCTTTCTAAGTTTTGTTTAGAAAATTCTTGTTAATTTAATTAAAATCCTTGTAATAGTTGAATTGCTGATTTAAGAACCAGGGATAGTTGAGTTCTGGATTTAGGAACTGAACACTCCTAAAGCAATAGAAATGCTTTTTAAAATTATTTTACTAAATGCACTAGAGGTTCATTCTAATTTAAGCCATGTAATTACCTCTGCAGGATGACCAGCTAAAATCCCACGAGAGCAAACTGAAGCAAGTCTCTACTGAACTAGCTGAACATCGTTCCTACCCACCTGATAAGAAACTTAAGGGCAAGGAGATTGAAGACTACAAGTTGAAAGACCATTATTTGGAATTTGAGGTATACTGTGGTCAACTAAGACTGGGCACTAATTTAAAGATAGTCATTGTAGAGATCATAGAACTTCAGCAAATGAGTAACGAGACTTTATATCTGCTTAAAGTTTTTAACTGTAATTAAAATGGAGGGAAGATTGCCACATGTTTTAATCAAAAAGGTCTAAATGGGAGAAAACTATCCTGTTGATGTCTATGTATTACTAAGACTCTCATATCTGTTCCATTGTTTGTAATCTTCAGTTGGGCAAAACAGTGCATCATAGGACAACATTTTTGAATCAATTTACCTTAAATGGGTTAACTTTACAGAATACAATTAAAATCTAGGACCTATGACTTTCATGAGATTAAAATTTGGCAAAATTGTGACTACTTCATTGCTGCTATGCAACTGCATTCCACTGCAGTTACTTGATTGTCATTCCCAATGCTCCAAGCCAGCTTCCTACAAAGAAAGTCAGAGGGGAAACCAGCAGGAAGTTAGAAGTTGCTCCCATTCCCACTGATTTTTTGCACACCAGTGATCATTCTGTTTTTCTTTTTAAGTAAGCAAATACCTTTATAATGATGACCCAGCAGAGCACAGGTTGTCTAGTAAAGCATAAATGTAGAATGGTGGACCGGATGTGTATTTGCTTTGTTTGAACTAGGCCAGGGGTAGGCAACCTTGGCTCAGGGATTCCTGGCTCAGGAATTCTGGGAGCTGAAGTCCACAAGTTATAAAAGAGTCAAGGTTGCCTACTCCTGAACTAGGCTGTTAGTTTTTGAAGAATCAGTCTATAATAATTTAGGAAGACAGTGATATTCTCATGTTACTCTTGCCTTTTTAATTCTGCTTCTTTGTCTTCATTTGACACTGGCATTTCCTCCATTCTTTATAGGGTTAACCTATGCAGGAAGTTTCCTCTCTTAGTCATTTGAATTACAAGGAACTACCTATATGCCACTAGGGATGGAACAACAGTAATGGATGCCATTTCTGGATGGCAGTGACTGACTACTATAAGGAATAGGGTTTAAGTTCTGGAGTTGAGCTAAATTATAGGCAGTGCTATTCTACACTTTTCTAGAGCCATGGTTTTCAATGTTTTAGTTCCCAACAAACCATTTATATATGGATTATATATGGATTAGCCTGTGCAGCAATTAACACACTGGGTCAGTCTTGGGTCAGTCATGTTCTTGGGTCAATCTTCCTCACAGGGTTGGTGTGGGGATAAATGAAGGGAGCCTTAAGCTCCTAAAGAAAAGGCAGAGTTAGAACGCAGTATTGCAGGCAAACTCTGCCCACAGCCTGGAGTTCAATTCTGACCGTTCAAGGTTGACTCAGCCTTCCGTTCTTCCAAGGTTAGTAAAATGAGGACCCAGATTGTTGGGGGCCATATGTTGACTCTGTAAACTGCTTAGAGAGGGCTGTAAAGCACTATGGAGTGGTATATAAGTCTAAGTGCTATTGCTATATAGACTTAATAGATAAAAAAATGAAAATTCATTAGAATATCACCTGAGAAACATTTTTAAAAGAAAGCTGCTTACTTATTTGTTTGTTTGTTTGTTAATTTAAATTTATATGCAGCCCATCTTGTATCCAAAGATTCTTTGTGACTTACAGCATAAAAACATTGAAAAACATTAAAAAACACAGTAGATCAAAACATCAACGGATTAAAAAACCATGAATACAACATGGCAAAGAAGGGAGTCAGACACACCAGGGGTGGGGTGGGGTGGGGTGGGGTGGGGTAGGGAAGATGGGGTTGAATTTTAATTAGTCAACTACTTCCAGTATGAAGTTCTCCCATTGGGTCCTCAAGCCATCTGGTAGAGCCAGGTCTTAAGGTTCTTAGGAAACATCAGGAGGGTGGGAACTAGTCTCACCTCAGTGGATAAGATGTCCCAGAAGGCGGGAGCTATAAAAAAAAGGTTAGATTAAAAATTTGGAATAGAGGGAGAAAAACTCCAAGGCTGAAGAATAGTTGCTAGATGACAGTCATCATTTGTGGCACCATTTCCTCGCTGTTCAGATCTCCAGCTTATTCATTATCTGATGAAGCATAATCAGTTCAAAATGCTATCAGCATTCACCTCACTAGTTCCGTATTGTTGAGTGACATGCTCATATAATTATTTGTCTTTTCACCATTGCTGGAAGTATAAATACTAAGCACATGACTATTTCATTTAACTGTCAAATTGATTTTTCTTGTAATCCATCTCTTCCAAGGCTTTCGAAAGCTCATCCGCAACCATTGCTTTTTCTCTTGTGTTCTTTTAAAAAAGCCTTGAAATCTTCCTGCATTTGTATAGCAATGCTTACCTGAGTCATGCTTTGAAATTACAGAAAGCCCTTCGTTGGAGAGCACAATTTTGACAATAAGCTTCCCTTTAAAGAATGTAGGGCATTTGGTAGAACTTCATCAAAATTTGTCATGATTCATTGGGAAGGTTCAGAATGCATGTCAATAAATAAGTAATCCTAGAAATTCTAGCATCTTCATTTTGCACCTTTTAAAAGCCTTTTTCTGAATTCTGATTAATCACCACTAGTTATCTGATTTAATCACGCCACCAATGAGTGAAGCTGCAGATGAAACTGCCACAATACAGAGGAGTCGTGGTTTTCTAGAGAGTGAACAGATTCAGCCATTGGCATTTTCAAAAATATGTTAAATCTTCTTTTACGCTTTGTATTTGGTGCCTGTTGGGCTCAGAAATTTGTGGCAGTGAAGTGATACATGAAAACGCAACAGTCTGCCTGGCTGAAGACCAGCAATGGCATCTTTTACAAATAATTAGAAATCCATACCATACTGAAACACATGGCATAGAGAAAAACTTAAGTTCAATCTGTAATGATTATTTAGACATCAAAATGCTAAATCATAATATTCATAATCTGCATGAAAAGATGAATACCTAGTAAATTAAACTTCTGAATTGTATAAGTAAATGTGTCTCCATTTGCCATTGCTGAATTTTCTACTTTACATAGTGATCAGGTGGGCATAAAATGAGAGGGATTCTATTGTTTTCAGAAAGCATTTCTTTTTCCAGATTAAGTTGGGATAAAGGGGGAAGTATAGGAAAGGACAAGTTGAGGCAACAATAACGATCCTTCTTATTAGTCTGCCTAAGTCTTGTGTGTAGACTGAAGATCCTTACTAAATGTAAGGAGAAAGTTGTTCCACACTCTTAAATCCACTACTTTGGACAAGATTCTTTGCCTTTCCTTTCAAAATACAAGATTCAAAATTCAAATGCTTCTCCTGAGAAAGAGCCAACACACATCCTTCGGTTTTCAGTTAGCAGGATATACTTCTGAATGCTCTTGTTACTCACTAGCTAATATTGCTCTGCTGGCTTACTTGCTAGGCATCCAATTTGTTGTGAATTATTTCCATACACATCGTAGAAGTGACACTATAGACCGAGTCTTTTCTTTCTTTTTTTCCAGAAAACCCGTTATGAAATCTACGTGTCTCTTCTCAAAGAAGGAGCAGGAAAGGAGCTGCTGAGTACCAGTGAGATTGATGGTCCTGGACTGAAGAAATGCCACTCCAGCCCTTCATTAAATCAGGAGTCTCCTGTTAGTGCCAAGGTGAAGCGTAATGTCTCTGAGAGGAAGGACTATCGACCGGAAACTCCCAGTATCAAGCAGAAAGTTACTTAAGAAAACTAAGGCAGGCTGAAGGATCACACACCGCTCTCTCTCTCTTTGATAATAACCTGTCCTTTGCGAAACAAACAAAAATTAACACATCTGCCTGAATGGGTGTTAGTGACATTTTTCAGTTGTAAATTTTGTTGTTTCTGTACAGGTTGTTGGAAATGTTTTGGCTTCTAACTTGCATTTGTCTAGTTAAGTTATCATAGAGCAATTGATCCAGTCCTCCTTTTTCTCAAAAACATTGGAATGGGACAGGAGAGATGTCATGGTATATTTATCTCTCTGTCATATGTTGGTCTTCTTTTGTTGGCTTGTAATTTTCATCTGAACTGCTGCTGCTGCTGTTCGGCCGTGGGGGAATGTCAAGACAAATGGAGCTTATCAACTTGTTAAGCCTTGTCAGCGGATAAGCTAAGATGTAAAAGAGACTGGGTACAAAAATGTTCATGTGTTGCCAAGCTCGATAACAACACGTTGTGGAAGATACGCCAGTAACTAGATTATTGAGTGATCAGTCATTGTGATAAACTTTATGAGTTACCAAGTTAATATTTAGATGAAGACCTTCAGTGAGTAGAAATGATTTCAACCGAAACAGGTCTTATTTTTTTCATGTTTCTGGATAGAAACTTTCTACCATAACCGTCTCTGTTCTATCTGCACACAATGCTACCCTAATGATTCTCAACAGCAAATAATCATATATTCGTTGTATTGATATCAGTAGCATGTAATGTTTTTGTTCAGTTGGCATTACGATCCTCCTTCAGATGTTTAAGTATTTTCAGGCACTTTATAAACTAGTTGATCGAAATCTGGTATCATTGCAGTCCCCATTTGCTAACCAACAGTTCCCCTATGCTATAGAATTACCTAACAGAGATGTCTGTCTATCCCCATACCAATATTGTATTTCCTGATTTAAAAAAAAAATATAGCCCAAGAACTCTCTCATTATTACAGTTCCTAGAGTGGTCTCATTCCCATTGCAGAGGATGGTGTTACATCTGACTCTTCCTGGGGGTGAGAAACATCTTGCAACGTAAACCAAAGAGAAAAGAAATAACCAGAATAACAGAGGATTAAGTTATAATTAGGAGCCATGGAAAAAGGCTTTCTAGGGAATAAGAAGTTTGGAAAATTGTGGAAGGGCACCTCGTTAAACCCAGAAATGGCAGCTCAAAGATAAGAACACATGCCCTAGAGGGGCATTATTTTCTAGGCGGAGTTGGTACATTTCTTTGCCCACTTTTTGAAGAGGATACATTGTGTAAAAAAAGACACATCCCCTAGGCTCTGTCAGGCTGGGAGATAAGAAAAGGACAGGGTGACACATGTGAAAGCTCTGAATTAGGATCCTAAATTTAGAATACTAAATAAAAGCTGTCAGTAGTCAGGACATTCTTTATAAGTGCAATTAAAGTATTGTTCTATTTTAGTACCGGTAACTTGTGGCTCTTTAGATGCCACAAATATTATAGTTCCCAGCATCAATCACTATTAGAAAGCTGTACCTGCTAAATAAGGTGCACATCAGAAGCTCATTAAGATAGGACTCTCTTACCACCTGTAACTAAGAAAAATTTCCTTCATTTTTCAGTCATGATTTATCATTTTATGTGATGAATACTAAATTGATATTTATGCTGCTGGATAAATTGCTAGTGCCTGCCAAAATAGAAAGATTCCCCCCCCCCCAAAAAGTGGCAAATGTTTCTGAATCCAGTATTTTTCATCAAGAGTTCAGAAAAGCCAGCAGACTGCCAGCCTTGTTGAAATGAAAAGAGGTGGCAGTAAAATGATGGGACGGATTTACATCATCTTTTTTAAAAAGTGGGAAGGAAGGGGTTGTGTTAGTTCAGTGTATGCTTTGTACTAATGGAGTACAGGGGAAAAAATGAGGCTGTAAAAAGTTTGGGAAGGAGACCTCGGTAAGGCTGGGGAGAGATACATATGAGAAATGTTAAACTTATCCCTTGAAAACAGAGAAACTACTTTTTTCTCTGCACATGTGTGAGACAGTAATACTATATTAACACTATATATGGTGTTTACATAGCTAAAGTAGACTAAGCTGAGTTATTCAAGAGCCCTTCTAGGTCGGTTGGCGGTTAGCCTCCATGACTGTTTGTTGAGTGTTACTGATGGTGTTGGCAGATTCTAGGATAGCAGGGTTTTTAGTTTTGCATTTTGGAATGACTACACTACAGCATAGTAGGAATTATCCGGTGTGGGCGATTATTCCTTTCACCCATTGCACTAAGTTCAAGTTTATTTTAATCAAACTCCGTTGTGCCGACCATAATGGCTAGTTTTGCCAATATACTGAGCCAAAGTCAAAATGAAATACCCCATGGCATAAAACAATGTGGTGAACCCATCTACACGGTGACTGACTCAATATTTCTTCATATAAACACGCACTTGAAAAAAGGATCAGTGGGGGAAAACAGTGGTTGCTCTTTGTTGCTCTTGCAGATCAACAAGCTTTATAAGATTTTGGAGTAACCCACGTGGCAGCCAGGCAACGGATTAGATATACTCCACTCATCTAGTAGAGTCAATGCCAATTAGTTACATGGACTTTTTGAGGGCTTAGTACGAGTTTGGTCAAGATTGCATACAAAGATTGGAGAGGATATTAAATTGAGCTCCTGGAGGAAAAGCAGGATATAAAACAAACAAACAAACAAACAAACAAACAAATGCATTTCCTCCAATTGCAAAACCTCTCCTCCCCCCACCCCCTCCTTAGAATATTAGGTATTTTTTTATTTGTGTGAAACTGTGGGTTGCTCCATAGTCTGGATTTGATTCAGAGATTACTCAGTCAGTTGGAAAGTAGGGAGCATGATTTAGGATAAGAGCCTTAGTACAGAAAGAAGAAACCACCACCTAGCTGGATCTCTGTGCTCAAAAGGAGAGAGATTGCAATTTTCTCCATGCACATAATGACATGTCAGAATTAACTGTCTGTATTCATGTTTCCATTTTCTCTCCCCCCCCCATCCCGTACTCCTTTCACTTTCTAAGAATCAAGCCTGTTAGGCTTAATATTAAAAGTACGGTTCTTGAAAGAGGTTTGATAACAGTTGGGCGCCTTCTGCTTTTTTTACTGGATTCTTTTGTGATGCTTCCAGAAGGCTGAAACAAACCCCAAGATGGCTATTCAAATCACACAATTAAAAGCTGGAATGAGCTTTATATGCACACTTGCTCACAATGTGCACCGTGATGACTGTTGCCTTGGGGAAATAGCAGTGCAGCCAATAATTGAAATGCTGCAATTCATGAATGTATTTGTGTCTATTTCTTTTCAGAAGCAGAGGGGCATTCAAATTATTTATTACTTCCAAGGTGCCTATGGTGGCGGCAGGCAGAGGGTGTGCTGTAAATTACCAAGAGTGCAGTCAGTTCTTCCCTGAAATAAGGGGTCAAGCAGGCTTTGGCTTTGTTACAACCTTAGTAGGTAGCTCAGTAATTTTTCACAGAGGAATAAGTCTGCTTTTACGTTACATTTACTTATAGAGCAGAACATCAGGCATTGCACTTGTGAACCTATCTGGATTTAACATAAAGCTGCCTTTTTGTTGATGTGTTGACTGCAGTCATTGATGATTAAGCTTCTCCTATATAACCACGGAGCCATGTTATGAGCCAGCTTTTACAAATAAAGAACGGTATTTTTTTTTTCTGCTCACTTGAAAACTAAATTGTAGTTACACTTACCTTGCATGGGAGATATGGGTGCACTGCTGATGTGGATATCCACATCTAGGCAAGGGCATGCATCACAATACAATAGTTGCCTATGCTCTTGTGAAATATTTATATTGATAGGTGCAGTTATAATTAGGTCTTTTGCGATTAGAAGGTTTTGGCTGGCGTTGGATAGGGACTAGGTACTTATGTTAACTTTTGCTGTATTTCTGTTTTTCTGTTTGCAAGCATTGGCACATGGGCATTCAAATTCTATATATATAAAATCCTTATGGTCAGGGTCTATGGTAAGAAGCTCCTATAGTAGTGTATGCACTCGTCTCTGGTTATATTTTTATATGTCAAAGGTTTTCCTAATATTACTTCACTTTGCCATTGAAGCTTGTGGTAAAATAGCCAAATCTCTTACAACCATATGGCTTTTTTTTTTTTTTTAAACATCCCTAGGGATCACTTTTTCAGTCCCAGGGGTTTTGAAACTTGGGTGGGTATGGATAATTGTATATGATCTAAAAATTGCTCATGAAATTCTGCAGCTCATATCAGCAATTACAATACCCTTGGGAATAGGCTTGCAGGCTAGATCCCTTGATATTTAAACTATTGCTGTGTCTGGAAGCAGCGAGAACAGCTTTCCAGAACAGAGTTGCCCTCTCTGTCTCGCATTGTGTGTCCTTTGCCAGTTTCACAATGTCTTTATTTTTAAGTCTTGCTCTTCAGTTTTGACCCACCGGATCGGTTATCACTCCAATAACTGCATTCCATAAGACAGCAGCATTGTGGCCTCCAGAGCCCCAACAAGCATAGCTGATTTTCCTTCCGGATTACAAACTTCCAAGCTGAACTCTTGTGTAGTTGATACCCAGCCCAGTTAGATTATTGTAACTTTTTAAAGTCCTTGGAGGTGTGCATCACTGAATTCAATTCAGCTAGGCTGAGATTTTAAGTCCTATTTATTGCACTGAGTCGAATGCATTTTGAAGGAGAGAAACAAGTAAGCTCTTATTTTAACAGATTGCGCCCCCCCCCCTTGGTTGCATTTGCCTGTTATTTTTCTTAGATGTGTTTTCTTTTAGACCCTTATAGTGGTATCTTGCAGTGTTTATATTATTTGAGACGTGTTTTGAGCCAGATTAGAAGTTCTTTTCAAGGGGAATCTCTGGGTGGTACATTAATTCCATTTAATTTTCATTTGTACAATATGCTCCCAGTTTTATTTTCTGCAAAGCTGCAATGCATTCACACTCTGTAACAGACTGAGATGTCTAAAAATCAGCACTTTAGTTTAAATTCTGTTTAAATTGTTTAAGGTTGCTTTATCTCAGCATATCCAAATTTTTAAAGTATAACTTTAACAGCACTGTACTGGAATTTAAAGAAATTAACAGATACAGTGGCATGTTTTAACTAAGTTCTGAATCTTTATGTTCGTAAGCAAGCCTCATCTTTCAGTTTTAGATCTCCATCTGCATATATTATGTGTCCAAAGTGTTGTGAGGATTTCTAGAAAAATATTTCAAGTATTTTTACTGTTCTGGGTATGTTTGAATGTTAAGAATTGTTATAGTTTGAACCCTGCTTTTCATTTTGAGTTTGCATTAAGGTGATCAGTATAAAATTATCTGTATGCAATGAGAAAGATCATTTGGGGAGGGGAAATCTTTTGGAGATATCACCAGGGAAATTAGGCTAAGACTATGACACAAACAATTTTTAATTTTTTCCAATTGAAAAAAAATGAAAAAAATAATTTTAACATTGGCCATTGTCTTTTCAAAATTATGGAAGTGTATTTTTTTAGAAGCAGGATAGAGATCATGCTGCTTATATTTATTACCTATAATGGGAGAATTTGAATAATTTGGCAATACTGAAATTAAAATACATCTTGCATTAGTAATGCATATCATTCCTTTTAAGTGAATTTCTCTTATGTGCTATGCAGTTATTGTGATTGAAAATATTGCAGGTTTGGCTGAACTGATTGGAATTTCTGGAAATTTTATTTATAAGCTTTAGGAAGTTTGAACTGTTAATTTATTAGAGACTAGTGTTTTTTCCTTATTGCCCATATTTAACATTGACTATGTGATTTATCAGGGGCAATCATGGTTTCTTAAATCAAGAAATTATTGGTTCCTCAATAGGTTCTTCCTGGGAAATTGGGAAAAGGTTTGTAAGGAGGTTAGTCTGCTATTCAACTGTACAGTTTTGAAAAATTTGATCAAGTATACCATATATAATTACCTAGAACTGAGTGATAAGTTTGCATGAAGGGTGGATTATATTCAGTTCTCAGTATCTTCCAGCTAAAAGGTTTTCAGATTACAAAGCTTTGGAAGGAAAAAAAAAATCCTTGAAATGTGAGGGAGCACATTTGGAAAACATATTGCAACTACGTGAGGGAATATTCTAATTCAGTCCGTGGCAGAAATTTACAACATTCACTGAGCCCAAACTATTTCTGAGTCCATTGAAAACTTCTTGCTCATCTCTGGCTTGTATAGACACAGCAATGCAACATTTTCTTTAAATAGCAATTCCTGTTATCTCCAAACCAGCAAGACATTCACCCACATTGGCTGGGGATTATAGGAATGGCAATCCCAGAAACTTGAACAGTGCCAGATCAAAGATTAGGATTAAGTGAGAAGCCTCACCTAAAATTAAATTAGAACTAAAACTCATCAAGTATATTTGAATGTAACTAGCGTATCTGTGTGTCTCAACAGACTATATGTTATTACTGTAGAGATACAGTGTGGATAAAAACCAATTTGTTTCATTCTTAACAAAGATGGAATTTATACTTGATTATTTTCTGATAAGGAGACACAGAAGAGATAATGTGGCTTCTTCCACTGGTTCCAGATGAGCTGGCCTCAGTAATAGTTGTGGCTTATATTTAAAATTTTGCTGTGATTAGTTTATCTTTCTGTCTTGAAGTGACTGAAAATATAGCAGCCATCTTTGATCAGCAGAGTTCTGCATCACCTCTTTTGCAGAGTTTTAAGAACCTTGCATATTTGTTTTCCATCTGTATCACTTGAAGAAGAAGCATGGCTGACATTTGCAACAGCTCTGAGGCTCAGTTTATATTTGTCATTTTTAACAAATTAGATTGCCTCTAGGTGAACTCTCTGCACCATTCTTCTATGATTATTTACATAATCACCTGCAGTATAGTTCTCTGTAAAATCTGATTGTGTACACATATATGATATTTGTTCTTCTTAAGAGTTTAAAGAAGCTTTACATGGTAACAAATCAGCAGAAGTAGAACATACTAGCAGAAGTAGAACATATAAATCCATCTGGCCAATGTACAAGTGCTCTAGTTTACCCCATTTCCCTGAAAGTGTAAAAGAGAATCAACAGGAAATGTGTGCTGTGTTTTTGCTTCTTTACATCTGTGGCACTTTATTTTTCCACTGGAATTAAAGAACAAAACTACTAGATCGGATGCAAGTTGCTCTATTTCTTCAAAGACCAAGTCTTGTGAAAGCTTCACTATAGAACAGAAAAGGCATCTCATTTTATTTTACCTCATGTCAGCCTGGAAGATTGGTCAAGATTTTAAGTGCAAGGAAGAGATCCTCTGTTTTTTATAATGTTGGTTCTTCTGAGACCTGTTCAAAAGAATTAAAATGGAAGACAGACCCCTTCAATATTCCCCACACTGAGAGATGGTCCACTGAAAGAGAGAGAGTTGCTTACTTCCACTGGCCTTTTGATGCTGAAACAAGGAAAATAGGGCATATCTTATAAAAGAAGGGATGAAATGGGTGATCCTAAATCAGTGTTCTTCAAACTTGGCCTCTTTGCATCATGTGGTTAAAAAACAACATACAGGTTGTTGTTGTTTTTTAAAGTTCATTGTGGCAAGTGTGAAGAAGGATTCTGGGCAGTCATTTGATTCCCTGTGATTTGAATGTGCGAGGTTCCATTCCTCCCACAGTTAGCAACAATTGGTATACCATACTTGAAGCTGAAGCTTTTCACAATTTCATATGCAGTAGCTGCCATCAAAATGATTTGTCCTTACTGCATTGGTACAAGTTTATATAATGTGATTTTTCTGGGAAATGGAAGTTGAGCAGAGGCATAATTCAAGGCAGTTATTAGAGGAAGGTAACAAAATATTGGTTGAAATTCCTTGCTCAAGACGTACCTTTAAGTTATTTCCAAGAGTAATTGCCTCTCTATGTCCCTATGTAAAACCCAAGCAACAATTGCCCTCAGACTGTAGCTTATGCTTATTTTGATTCCTTTCCCTCAAGTGGAGCCTGAATAGCAAAACCAAAACTCAAAAATGAATTACCCAAGTCTTCATTATCTAACCTATAAGCTACTCTTCCTGTAAATGTTGATGTTTCCCAACTATCCACTGGGCAATTAAACTGTTAATCAGGCTTTTCTGAAATATAGAGTGGATTATGTTCTGAAATATAGAGTGCTGAGCAAAAGCCAGAAATGAGGACCTGGGGGAAGAGGAAGGACCTTGCCTAAAAATCTTAATTACTCCCCAGGGGAACACAAAGAGGCAACCCAAACCTCCTTTCTCCATACAGTTAGCCAAAGAATCCAAAAACCTTTTGATACAGTAAATACACTCCTGTTTTTGGACTACAGCCGTGTTTCTCAACCTTGACAATTTTAAGGCATGTGGACTTCAACTCCCAGAATTCCACAGCCAGCATTGCTGGCTGTGGAATTCTGGGAGTTGAAGTCCACATGCCTTAAAATTGTCAAGGTTGAGAAACACTGGACTACAGGAAAATACATAGTTCAGTCTGAAGGGCATCAGGTTAGGATAGGCTGCCCTGTCAGTTAATCATAGAATTTCCCTTGAAATCTCCATTCCCTTTTTTTCAGGTACTGCAAAGGCAATTTCACATTAAATGAAGGCACTTAGAGAGATCCTTCACTATATGGAAGAAGGACTCTCACTTATGTGGATATTGTTTTTATATATCATTGAAATAATATTTTCAAGATTAAGTTTACATTTGTTTTAATTTTTCTGTACATACAGTAAATACATTTCCCTATTTTACCATTGTTAAGAGTTAACCCTTTACAGTCTGCGGACAATTTGCTAGAAAAGCTGTGAGATACTATACTCTCTTCTCATCTCCTTTTGTGTGTTCATATTCGTAATGATTACTATCTTTCTTTTTAATAAGTTGACATAATGTTGTTTTGGCACAACAAAGCCTAAACATTATTTTTATGTTTCTGACAATGAACAAACCAGTGAAGGATTTCACATATGTATATGATATATGTATATGTAAAAAAAAAATTAGAAAAGAAATAAACCAAATGTATTTCAACTGCTGAAGCCGATTGCCCTTATTTGGAATCACAGTTTCTTATTGCTTACAAAAATGGCAGCAGTATCTCCTGTTTTCACTTACTTTGATCATCCTCAGATGGAAAATCATGGACAATAATAAAGCCCGAACCCAGAGTTTAAACAGTAAATGAAGTCATTATTCATTTATTTATTAATATACTACATCTCCAAGTTTTTCTGTGTTCAGTACCTCGGGTGGATATCTTCGGGAAGATAAGAAATATTTTATATTTTCCCATGCAAAGTAGCTGCTAGAATCTGGTTGAAAGAGACGTTTTAGTTTTTCTGATTTCCACAATGATGGATATATCTAACGGGCCCCACTTCTTTCCAATTAATGCTGATCCTGCTTAGATTCTGGTGCAAGATATTCAAGGCTGCCAGAAGGTGTAGAAGTTTGCTTATGTCATAAAGAAAACTGAAAACAAGGATGAAGAACTGGGCAAAGTACTACAGATAATGGTGGCAAACATATATACACATGCTTGTGTGGCTGTTAAAAATCCCACACACATATTTTTTCTCTCTTTCTTTCTTTCTTTCTTTCTTTCTTTCTTTCTTTCTTTCTTTCTTTCTCTTTCTTTCCATTTATTCGTTCATTCATGCCTAATTCTTGGCTATTGACTAATCAAGCATTTTACTTATTAGACTCTCTCTCTCTCTCTCTCTCTCTCTCTCTCTCTCTCTCTCTCTCTCTCTCTCTCTCTCTCATGGAGACTTTCAGATTTCCACCATAGCTGTTGTGGAAAAGTAACCAAGACTAAAAACAGTAGGGCCGTACTCAGCATATGGTCTCAATGGAACTGCATCTACATGGAGGGAAGTGTGTAGTGGGGTGTCCCAGTACTCTGTTCTAGGCCCAGTGCTCTTCAACATTTTAATCAACGATTATATGGGAATTCATCAAATTTGCAGACAACACCAAGCTGGCAGGAATAGCCAACACTCCAGAAGACAGGCTTAAGATACAGGAGGAAAGGGACAGACTTGAACACTGGGCACTATCTAACAAAATGAAATTCAATGGTGAAAAAAGCAAGGTTCTACATTTAGGCAAGAAAAACCAAATGCACAGGTATAGTATAGGGGGTACCTTGCTCAATAGTAGCAACTGTGAGAGGGACCTCAGAGTCCTAGTGGACAATCACTTTGATATGAGCCAGCAGTGTGCTGCAGCTGCCAAAAAAGCCAACACAGTGCTAGGCTGCATTAACAGAGGGATAGAATCAAGATCATGTGAAGAGTTAATACCACTTCACAATGCCTTGGTAAGGCCACACTTGGAATACTGCATCCAGTTTTGGTCACCAGGATGTAAAAAAGATGTTGAGACTCTAGAAAGAGTACAGAGAAGAGCAATAAAGATGATTAGAGGTCTGGAGGCTAAAACATATAAGGAATGGTTGCTGGAATTGGGTATGCCTAGTCTAATGAAGAGAAGGATAAGGGGGGACATGATAGCAGTGTTCCAATATCTCAGGGGCTGCCACAAAGAAGAGGGAGTCAAGCTATTTTCCAAAGCACCTGAAGGCAGGACAAGAAGCAACAGATGGAAACTAATCAAGGAGAGAAGCAACCTAGAACTAAGAAGAAACTTCCTGACAGTTAGAACAACTAACCAGTGGAATAATCTGCTTCCAGAAGTGGTGAATGCTCCAACACTGGAAGTTTTTAAGAAGAGACTGGACAGCCATTTGTCTGAAATGGTATAGGGTTTCCTGCCTGAGCAGAGGGTTGGACTAGATGACCTCCAAGGTCCCTTCCAACTTTACTATTACTATTATTACTATTATTATTACTATTATTATTACTATTATTGTTGTTGTTATTATTATTGTTGTTGTTATTCAGTTCTGTAACATAGGGAGGACATACCAATGATGAAGTTACAGAAGGCTAACCACATGCATTGGTTTAAGCACCTATACTAGTTTAGCAAGAAGATGGAGGCAAGGAAGACAACAATGAATTATTTACAGGAAAATTCTTTACATACATGGCACTGAAGTAATATGTACTGTATTGTCAATCTGCTATGATGTCCACATTAAAAACATTTCTTAGAAAAAGCTGTTCATATCAAAAATGATTTGGGGTGTATGTGTCATGATGGAATTTAATGGACCTGAGTTGGTAACTCATAATTGAAGGTTTCCTGCAGAAAAGAATCACTCCTTTAAATCCACCAACTGATTGGGAATGAGCTATGTACCTTTCATAAAGAACAGGCAGTCTGGAGGAATAAAATACTCTATAATCCCCAAATCTTTAATAATATAAATAAATCATGTCAAAAAGGGAACATTATGTTTAAAGCATTTTTACAATGTTCCTCCAAAATGTCACCTGCCTGTTCTTTCTATTACAGTCTAAAAGTCATAACACAAAAGAAAAATGAATTGGGAGGCGGAAAAAAAAGATAAGGATCTTTATTGTCACTTTTCTGTGTATGTGTGTGTGTGTGTGTGTGTGTGTGTATATTGTCACTTTTCTGTGTATGTCTGTGTGTACACAAACACACACACACACACACACACATATATATATGTGTGTGTGTGTTGAAAAATTTCCATAAAAATACGACTCCTGGGCATGTTTATAGTATAAATAAAAATGCGAGCACCAGGAGAATATAGGTATAAAAATATACTTTACTAAAAGCTGCTGAGCTTTCATTTGGGAACTCCAAACATCATCAGGGCTAAGAAGCCAGTAAACAATGATGACTTAAATAGGTTTGGCTGACATTTGCACCCAGCTCCTGGACCGCGTCACTGGTCCCAGCCGGTCAATTTGTGTTCCAGATGTTTCTTTGTTACTCTCCTTGCATTTCCTTCTATCGTTCTTCCGGATCACTCCTTCTACCATTTTATTGCTGACACTCATCTCCTCCAAGACCCCTTTATCCTTCTTTCCTCCCATAGTATTAACTCTCATCCCATTTCCCTTTTCATTGTCCATTCTGGGGGCGTCCAATTCTCCTCTGTTGGTATTACAACCTTCTCTGGGATCACAGCCACACCCCCGCATTTCTCTCGACCACGGGGTGGCACCCTCCCTCTGCTCTACATCCTCTCCTCTCACCCCCCCCACCATCACAAGTGATATTCATACGGGCGCTACACATTTGGGCACCCATGCGCTCCTCCCTCACCCTGATGTTCTCCGTGTTCACCGCTTTCCACCGTTCCATCTGTTTATTATGCAATCGGGTGTTTACTCCACCTCTCTCTCCATCCTCCCCCCTCCGTGTCACACGCTGTTCGCTGCTGCTGCTGTGAACGGCATTCAAGTAGGCACTACGCATCCAAATCCCCATGCTCTGGATCCCTGCGCTCTCACCCCAGGGTACCATCTTCGAACAAGTTAAAGGGAAACCTATAGGCTCCCCCATTTCTAGCACTATAGCGGAAATAGTACTCCAACAGTTAGAACGCAGGGCTATGGCCTTATACCAACCCAAATTTTGGGTTTGGTATGTGGTCGACATGTTTGCAGTTGTTAAAAAACAACATGTAGCTACCTTTATGAGAACATTAAATTTGATCTCCTCTGACATTCAGTTTACAGTGGAGGAAGAAAAACAAGGCCATTTGGCCTTCCTGGACGTGTCAATATACCGCCAACCGGATGGGTCGTTACATACAGGGATGTTTCGTAAATCCACCCACACGGACAGAATACTCCACTATAGGAGCAATCACCCAGTGTCCCATAAGGCTAGCTGCATTAAAACATTGTTTAAGCGTGTGGACTCCCACTGCAGCACTGAGGAGTTTAAAAACGAAGAAAGAAAACACCTCTTCCATATCTGCCAACGCAATGGGTACCCTTTGAGGTTTATCAGACAGTATGGTACCATACCCCAGCCCCGAGATAACCAAAGGAGAGAGGAACCACCATTACAAAAAACGTGTGTCTCTCTACCATATATTAATAACGTCTCAGAAGCAACAGCCAGATTGTTGGCCCCCCATGGGATAGAAGTGGCCCACAGACCCAATCAGACATTACGGTCTAAAGTCATGTGCCCTAAGGACCCACTTCTTGCCATGGATAGATCAGCAGTAGTCTATAAAATCAATTGCAAGAACTGTGATGGCGATTATGTGGGTGAAACAGCTAAGCGTTTAAGAACTCGCCTGCATGAACATAAGCTAGCCATAAGAAGGGGCGAACAGCA